GCCATGGAACTGAAGTTGCTGATATACATCTCATCTTGTAACTGAATGAATTTGAAAGATAGTCTCTCAGCCTCATAGGATGTCTAAATGGAAGTAAAGTCATTGACTGGGAAATAAATAGATCCTGTAAATATAACTATGTATGTGTGGGAAGACCTTAATAAAACTAAAGGCATTGGCCTCTTGAATGCTGGGGGGGATGGGAGGGAAGGGTGGTTGGGAGGGGGCCATGGGAGGGTGGGAGAGAGAGAGGAATGGAGAGGGAACTGGGATCAATATGTAAAATAAGAAATATAAATTTAAAAAAAGAGGAAACATAAAAAAATTTAAAACTTAAAAAATAAAGGCTTTATTGAAGCTAAAAAAAAAAAAAAAGAAAGAAAATGGTAATGTTCCTTCTTGAGTCAATTCTCACATTAAAAAAAAAAAATTACTGGTTTTCCTCAAGACCTAGACCTATCACCCATCTTTATTTCTAGACAGTTATCCATAGCCAAATCCTAGGAAGGCCCTCCAAGTGAGGTGATGCAGTATGGTATACTACAAAATAACTACTAAAGCTCTATAATTTCTCCAAGCAGAACTACCCAGAAAACTGATGAAGAATGGATATTATAGTTGTAGGGTATAAAAGAGTAGGTGGGAAAACAAAATGTAAAGTTGGATGGGAAGACTGAATCGTGTAGTTGACTGACTAAAATATTTATCAACAGATCAGGTTTGGGAAGAACGTCAAGATACCCTTACAGGAATGAATGAAATTTTATCTGGTTCCTCTAAGAAACAAGAAAGAGGCACATGCCTCATGATCTCATTTGGCTGTGGTTATAGGCAAAGTATTCTTTATCAAAATGTGTAAATATTTCCATTTACTAAGTATAAGTCAAGGAGTTGTTAGCATTAAATGGTTATTACAAGAAGAAAGGATTTGAAACAGGCATAGATTGTTTTGCATGTTGTTCTGCTATGTGAATCATAGTCATCATAATAAATGTGGTATTTGATGAAATTCTGTATGATGGAAACGGATGCTGCTTGAAGTCTTTAGCAGATTTTTATATATGTCCCAGAGTGGAGACCTTTTGAAACAAGAAAACTGTTCATCTTTCTAGATATAGTGCTTGGCCTGCATTCATAGAAACGGAATGTATGAATATGGGCCACCAAGTAATGATGTGATGAGTTTCTCGTCATGAGTATAATATGTATGACAATATCACCAAGTGGAAGGAAGCATATACATGATGGGGTTCATGCAGATTTAAAAGGCATAGGCAAATAACACTAAGATTCACCCAAATATTCATAGTTCCTAGACCTACTACACCATGTTTTGTCTTTCAGAATTGCTTTATGGAACATGCCCTACAGTGAATTGACACAGAAAGATAAGATTCTGGACCCAGTTTATGGCTCATTATGAGATTAAATACCATGTGCACTATCTTGTAGCAGATGGTTGATAGAACGATGGAATATCTTTGTGAAGATTCAGTTACAGGGCCATCTATGTGGCAGTAACATGCAGGACTGGAATGATGATGTCCTCCAGAACACCACATATGTTCTGTATTTGTGGCCATCATTCATCAAACTGTGTTATTTCTCTGAGCCAGGATTTGCAGGTTCAGAAATAAAGGGCTGGGATTGATAGTGGTACCCTTTATTCTTACCTGTAGGGATCCACTTAATAAGTTTTACTTTCTATTCCCATGATTTTTATATCCCACTGGCCTAGAGTTTTTGTTTCTAGAGAAATGAACAGGATGCCTTCTGCCAAGAGAAACTACAATCATTCAATTTGGGTTCCTCGTGTCTCTGAACTAACAGTGAAAGAAGGAAGTTATTATCCTGGCTAAAGCCAAAGACCCTCAGGGACTGGACTGCTAGGCTATAATTTGGGTAGAGAAGAGTTTGCATGGAATATGGAAGCTCCTTAAGGAAAGTGACATAATTGAATTCATTGTGAAAGTACAACAAGCCAATCTGAGCAGTACTACTCAGACATATAAAAATGGTATTTGGGGTCAACCTACTAGTTTAAGAACTATGACCAGCTATTGTGATTGATGAAGGCTGAGAATAGATAGTGGAAGGTAGTTACAAATGTGAGCTGCAGTTTCATGAGTAGTTAAAGAGTTCAGTATAAGTCATGAGTGTTACCTCATGTGATATAATATGCACACACATATATTAATATAATGGAAATACCTTTGTTTTCTTTCTTTCTTTCCTCTCTTACTCTTTTAGTACGAAAACTACAATGTGCTGATTTTGTACATGCAGAGGACCTGGTGCAGACCTATGTCAGACCTGTGCTTGCTGCTTCCATGTGATTTTCACTTGTTCCAAAATGGAAGAAGAAATGTCTGTTTTACCCTGCATCCAAGTCACAAGTCTCTTGCAGCCCACATACTCAGCTTAGTCTCAGCCAGTGAAGAGAAGTTGTTGAGACTTGGAAGTGCATAAATGAAAATACCTCTGATCCCTAGGTTTGATGTTGACCCCTCTGTTATCTGTGCCACTGTAACAGTGAGTGAGCTGAACATTCAGGGAACACCTTCTCTAGTGCTTGATGTCTATGTAGGTCACAGGCGCCCCCTCCCCCTTTCCTTTTTAGTTTTCTGAGACAGGTTTTCTCAGTGTAGCCCTGGCTATCCTAGAACTAGCTCTTGTAAGCCTGGCTGACCTTGAACTCAGAGATCAGCCTACTTCTGCTTTTCAGGTGCTGGGATTAAAGGAGGTAGTGGCCTATTTTTTCAAACTGTTTTTTTGCAGAATGTAAGAACTGTGTAGTTGACTGGGCCTCTTTTATTTACAGCCCCACTGAAGGACATTTTGCCTTCATGCCTAGGTTGTTATCAAATGCCAATGCAGGGTTGTGTCCCCCATCCTACTGTTTTCTTCAGACAAGGTTTCTGAAATGCACAGAAATCCACTTGCCTCTGTCTCCTGAGTGCTAGGATTACAGGTACACATTAAATGTGGTGGTGGCAGGCAGATCTCTGAGTTCAAGACCAGCCTGGTCTACAGAGCTAGTTCTGGGACAGGCTCTAAAGCAATACACGGAAATCCTGTCAGGGGAGTGGAGAAATGAGGCATGCACCACCACACCTACCTCCAGTGTTGTTTCTTTTACAAACCTAACATCCAATATTTCTGGATTTCCTTGCCTCTATTGTTGAGCTCAAGTGCCTTTCTACACCACCTCTTCTCCCTGAAGACATACCCCTGTTTTATTTTAATATAGCAGAGATACATGAAAATGCTAGAAGTCTCCAACCCACCACTTACCTCCCCTGATGGTATTCTTTGAAGTAATCCTTTTTTGATAAAATAACATATGTAATTATGCTATAAAGATTACCTACATTTTCATTTGTCACGTGTTTTTCTTGCATAACATTTAAAATAGATATTTTAAGCTCATAAATACTTATTCCTGTTTCTTCCCAAAAATTTTATGTAACCATTGGATCGATGTCTTTGATACATTTTAGGTTAAGTTTTGAATGCATGTCAGGTGGGGATTTAGCTTCATTCTTTTGCTTGTGGATGCTTGCTAGTCACAGCACCTTTTGGAGAAAGCACCATCCTTCTTAGCCTTGCTTGGCACTTTTTTAGAAATTGTTTATAAATATGACAGCTTATTTCTAGGCTGCTGATTTTATTTCATTAATCAATACATATATCCTACACCATTTTGTTGTTTGCACTTCTGCGGTAAATTTTCAAATTTGGAAACATAAGATATCCTGGAACTGTTTTGGCTATTCTAGTTCCATTGCAAAGTCTATGATCCTCAGATCATCTTGGAACTTCTTCAGAAGGCAACTTGAACTAGGATACAAAGTACTAATACATATTTCAGAGACTGGCATCACCTGTACGATAGTGAGGCTTTGGCTCATGACATGCCTATCACCAGTTATCATTTGGTTCAAGTCCGTGACTTCTATTTGTAATGATTGTGTTGCTTCAATAGTGTGAAAACTCTAAAGGACAATGATACAGCATTTTTAATGTACTTGCTCAGAATGTATTAATTGTGCATGGGTGTAACTCTGGACTAGAAAAGATTATCACTGTATATTTGGGATTGTTTGTTTGTTTGTTTTGTTTTGTTTTTTCCTCCAGATTCCTTGCTTCGGAGGCCAAGGACTAATTTCAGTGTTTAGAATCAAATACACTTAACACCTTCTCAAAAATATTGGTCAGCTTGAACAAATTATGTGATCTGATCATTTTATATATTAGCTTATAGGCATGTGTATATGTTGCTTTCAGATACACTAAGTACTTTTTTATTATAATTCAGAAGATAGAATCCTCATTCTTATACCTCTGGCTGACAGTTGTTACAATGCATGCACAATTTTCCTATGAATCTCTAATCCCTCCCGAACACATTTGGGGGTATTTCTGGTCTAGGTTCTGGCAGTTTGGAGGATTAAATCCAGGAACTTACACATGTTAGGCAAGTGCTTTACTATTCAGCTACATCCCTTGGTCTTTAAATACCTGATTCATGAGTAATGAATGAACAATTCCTTAACTATGACACCTGTAAGAATGGGAAACTGAAGTTTTCCCATAGTATGTGTTGCTTTGACACACAATACTTATAAATGTTTATAATTAGGATACTCATAGTATTTAATTTTGGCCATTTTAGAAGTAATAAACTAGAAACACAAGCACACAAACTATCTTGACCAAGAAAATAGTTAAACTGTGAAATACAAAATGAGGATTAATATACCAGGCTATACAGGGCATAAACAAATTGTTGGTTAAGTATAGCTTACTGGCAACCTAACTCTGTTAAGATTGCACTTAACCATACCTTTCCTGCCATAGTCATACTACAGTGACGATTAGATGGTCATCTATAGGGAACAGGTCAGATTTGGTGACTAATTTTAGTAATATGTTATATTTAGAATTTTCATGGAATACTTACTTCAAAGTCAAAATTTAGCAGATAATAGTCATGTAGCTCTAACACAGCAACAAGACAATATTTATTTCGACATTAATGGATTTATGCAATTTTAATGTAATACAGCAAAGACTGGGTATCAACAAAAGAGAGCAATGATTGGCTTCTGCAGGATCATCTCAAGGGCATTACTTGCTTTGGTGAGTTTACCATGATCCACACACACCATGGCCTTCAGTGCTAGATGTCTACAACCCGATCTTGCCCACGTCCTGTTACATTCATCCAAATTCTGGAGGTGAAATCACAGTCATTACATCAAAATACTGAAAGATATAAAAAGAGAAGGATATTCATTTACAATGAGAAATACAACTATACAGGTCAAATACACATGTTCAGAAGTCAATACTTCAGATTCTCTTCTAAGCAGGTTATAACAGAAATATCCTAGGATACTGGTAATCTGCTAGTGCTTGATACCTAATGTGTGAATGCAAAAAAGGCTTTTGTGTCAACTAGATCAGAGTTTCTGTTACCCTTAGTGTAATTTTCTCTCAGAAAATGGCACGGATGCTTATTTCAGTGACTTTTGGTTTTCTATGTATCATCCCTCACCCATCAATGTTGCTTCAATGCTCTTGACTCTCTTACATTTTAGAAAATTCATATTTAAAAAATGTAGATTAAAAACCCTCTTCCCACCAAACTTTTTTTTTACCATTTCTCAGTCTTTCCTCTATTTCCAGATGAAAATATCAGCATCAATCACTTCTTCACCATTGTCTGTGACTTTATTTATATGTAAATATACATGATGGTTAAAATAAAATACTTTAATTTGGAGTTTGTAATATGAATTGGACCATCCATTTATATACTTTACTAATTTTTAAAAACAATCTTTTTTTCCATACTAATCCCAATTCCCCCTCTCTCTCCCCTCCTCCTGCTCCCCCCATGTTCACCTCACCCCCCCCCATCCTCTCATGGAGGGCAAGGCCTCCCATGGAGATCTTCAAAGTCTATCATATCATTTGGAGCAGGGCCTAGGTCTTCCCCGCTGTATCTAGGCGGAGAGAGTATCCCTCTATGTGGAATGGGCTCCCAAAGTCCATTCATGCAGTAGGGATAAATATTGGTCCCACTGTCAGAGGCCCCATAGACTGCCCAAGGCCCCCAAACTGACACCCACATTCAGGGGGCCAATTTTGGTCTTATGCAGGTTAACATCTTAAGTTCTAGATGATTTTTTTCCTTTTTGTGATGGTATCTCAGTATCACTGTACAACCAGGGCTAGTCTCATACTCATAATTTCCCTCCTGCTTGTTTCCCAAGTGCAGGGATTATGGGTGTGTACCACCATGTCCTGCTCCTTTAATGAGATTTCTTTATACAGATTGACTCACCTCACTATTCCAGTTGTTACATAATACTATATAACAATATTATCTATCAAATTATTCCTTTACTAAATGACACTGAGTGTGATTGCAGCTATTACTTATTAAAAAATGAAGTTGATTTACTCATATGTAGGATCACTTTCGTGAACTTCACAAGTAAAACACAGGTCAAAATACATACCTGTAAAAATGTTGATTCTGTTAAAAGACTTCCAATGTTTATATTTTCACTGTTTTTAATTCATGTTATTTATTTAGCACTATCATTTATAAACTGAAAATTATGGAGAAATAATCTTTTTGTGTTTGTGTGTGTGTGTGTGTGCGCGCGCACACGCACGTGTACACGCGCACGTGCACACAGTCATGTGTGAGTGTACATGTTCCATGACATGCATGTGGATATAAGAAGATAATCTTGGGTGTTGGTTCTCACCTTCCACCTTGTCTGACACAGGGTCTCTCTGTTGTTCACAGGTGCGGAAGCCAGGCTAGCTGGCCTACAAACTTCCAAGGGTTCTCACGTTTTCACCCTCCCATCTTGCTGAGATTACAGATGTGTGGTTCCACACCCAGTTTTACCTGGTTTATGGGGTTTCGAATTCAGGGCTTCACACTCATGCAGCAAGCACTTTCTTTACCCATTGAGCCATCTCTCAAGAATTTTGACTACTACAAAAAGAATGAACTAATTGTGAATTTGTAAAATTGAAGATTTCCCTCCTGTCTCTGTTTCCCACGTGCTAGGATTACAAATGTATACAACCATGCCCACCAAGCTCAGTCAATGAGCATTCTTTATAAAAATTGATTTACCTCAATACTTTATTGGTCTCATGATACTACTTTATATGACAAAGTTAATTTGCTTAATCATTCCTCTGTTGAATAGTACTGAGTATGATATAGTTAGTACAAACTAGGAGAACTTCCAAAATAGTTGATTTATGACAGAATGGGGGTGGCTCCTCTTTGTATGTTTTGATTCCCAGTAAAGAATGCACGAAGTCATTCATCATAGTTGACCATATACATACTGTCTTCCATGACCTGCCCATTTGTGACCACTTTTTAAAACCATGTTTTTGTACTAAAAGACGGGACTATTTGATATGTAATTAGAATTAGTGAGTTATTTATTATACACATTTGTATGTGTGCACTGATGTAACCAGAGGGTATATCAACTGTCTCCATGCTTGTTTACAATTTCTTTCTATATGTACTTGGAAGTTTCATGATAATTATTTCAAGGTAGATGTAGTAATAAAGGATAAAATATAAAATGTATAAGACAAGATTGGAAGCTGGGTGTAGTGGTGCATACATGCCTGTAATCTCATCATTTTGGAAGTAGAGACAGGATAATTAGGAGCTCAAAACCAGCCTGTGCTAAGTGAGACCCTGTGTCTAAAAAAAAAAAAAAAACAAGAGAAAAAAAATAACTTAGTAATTTTTTCCAATAAGCCCCATTTCCAGTCTTTGCAGGTTGACAGATGTAGTCTAGAGTACATGCTCCACATTTTCTACAATCATCATAAACAGATATATTGACAAATACATAGGTTTTCCATTTGCTATTAAAATGAGTTTCATATATATTATTATGCTATATCTTCATTACTTAGCATTTCATATTTAGTATACATTATTGATTTAATATGCTCTTTTTATTATGAGTATAATAGTATACCACCAGATTCTATGACTTAACCAATAATTCTCCAAATAAAGGGCACTGAGTGTCTTTCCAATTGTTTTCTGTTTTTCAAGCCAGAGCTTCTCTGTGTAGCCCTGGCTGTCCTGGAACTCACTCTGTAGATGAGACTGGCCTCAAACTCAGAGATCCACCTGCCTCTGTCTCCTGAGTGCTAGGATTAAAGGTGTGTGCCACCACTGCCTGGCTCCAATTGTTTTCATAAATATCCAAATGTATTTTCATCCTGTTGGATTATGAGGCAAACCAAATTTCAAGATTCCCCAATTATCTGCCAGGAAATGGATCCCAAACTCTGATGATCCTTAACTCCTTTATATAAAATGGCATTCTATTTCCATATAAATGGTATGCATGATTGCATATATATAAACATCACAGATTACTTATAATGCCTAAAACAATAGAAATGCTATGTAAATCGTCCTTGTATTATTTAAGTTGTCATATAAAAGAAATGTCTTCCTGCGAAACAATCATAGATGCACTAATACAGTATAAGACAACCAGAGCAACAAAGGAACATTGTTGATCTGGGGTTGGAGCTAAATGAATTCACTGACAGAGCTTTGATGGAGGGCCAACTGTGTTCTCTTAAAATAGATGTACTAATCCATTCTCTATATGTCTTAGACAGAATTAGTGGCTCTTATACTTTAAGTTTATGAAACATGAAATTAACATATTTGATAGTTATATATCAGTACAATTACAAGGTTATATAAAACATTTTCAAATATTTACATTCAGCTCTTTAAAATATAGTATTTCATGTTCAAAAATGAATTATATGCAGGGTGTGGTGACACATGACTGGAATTCTAACACTTGGGAGGTAAATGTCGTTGGATCAGTAGTTTGAAACCAACCCACTGTAGTGAGTTCCAGGCAAGCCTGGGCTCCATAGCAAGATGCAATCTAAAAGAAATTACACTTAAAATTCCATAAGAGACCTTACAAAATGTTACACTAACCTGCTAAATAGATTTAAATTTTCTTTCCAAGTATATTTTATAATATTATGTACATGGTCTTGAACTTATCTTTAGGAGATTTTTGTGGTCCTATCATGTAAATCCATGGACTCATACAAAATAGGCATGTTTTCTATCAATGAACTATATGCTTAATCTATGATGCAGTGTTGTATGTACTAATACTTAAATATTTTGTTTTTTTTCTAAACGTCTATAAATTTTCAAACCAATAATCTTTAGAGAAGCAATACAGATAACAAGCAAAGACAAAAAGTGATAAGAAACATGTTGCAGCTGATGGACAAGTGAAAAACTTTCACTCGTACCAAGTAAATGTCAACTTGCACAGGCAATATGGACAAATCAGAGAAAGTAGTTTATTCCTCAAACATGAAAAATGTCAATGTACACAAAATATAAGGACTGAAAGAAATAGAAAAGAATAAGATGCCAAATTAGTATGCTTTGAAGAAGTAGGAGAAGACGGGTGGTGCTAGCGCATGCCTTTAGTCCCAGCACTCCAGATGCAGAGGCAGGCAGATCTTTGTGAACTCGAGGCCAGCCTGGTCCACAAAACAAGTTCCAGGACAGGCTCCAAAGCTACACAGAAAAACCTTATCTCAAAAAAAGAAAAGAAAAAAAGGAATGACAGACATTTGTTCCAGTTTGTGAGTTTGGTTTTGGCCTCATCCGATTTAACTGTTGTTCTATTCCCAGTAAAAAATGCACAGAATGTTTATTTCTCAATTCAGTATACAGCAAAGTGCTAGAATGCATTGGGAGGATGGCTTTCAAATTCATCAAGCTCTGTGCATTCCCAGTCTGGCCTATGCTGGTACAAGTGAAAACAAAGTGTGGGTCATATCAAAGAAAATACCAGCACTGCATAACATTTTATATGCACTCTATATGTTATAGAGACCCATCACCACTAAAGGCACTGTCCTATATCTCTCACCTCAGCCTCCACCTATTCTGGAGGCAAAAACATGCAGAAGACCCAGATCAACTGAGCCTAAGAGAGGTGAATGTCCTTGGTGTGCATAAAGAAAGGGGTGACTGTCATTTACCACCCAGTGGAAATGGTGTCTAAAATGTCCAGGCAGCAATATTTGCTTTCTGCCATATGCCAGATATTAGGCATGGGAGTGAGCAGGGACAGCTGGGTTGAGTGGTCTCAGATCAAGTCAGATCTCTTATCCTGAGTCAGGGGCACCACCCAGAC